CGGAGAAAACTAACAGAATTCAATTAAAACAAGCTTTGTTGCTGCAGTTCTTACAAGAGGACCATGGCAACCAAAGTGTGAGAGGAAATAGCCTGGGTCCGAGGTTGGACCAAATGTTTTAATGTTCTCTATATGTTCGTTTCCACAGGTAGCTCTGGCAAACGAGGTCCGAGAGGACCTCGTGGACAAGCAGGGAAGTCAGGGGGTGTCACAGGTGGTGCAGTGTACACCAGGTGGGGAAGAAAGACATGTTCCAACAAAACAACCCAATTGTATTCAGGTAAATAAATCTCGACTGAAATATAGAAAATTCTAGGACTATAATAAAGTAGATGTATTCTGTGCAATTTTATTTATTGTTCTATGTTTTATTACGTTTCTCACAGGTGTGATGGCAGGGTCGCATTATTCACATTCTGGTGGGGGTTCAAACTATCTCTGCCTGCCTTTAAACCCGATTTTTGAGAAAGTTGGGTCAGGTAATCAAGGAAGCAATTACATCTATGGCACTGAATACGAAATAGGTCATGCTCAAAAGCATTTGTTTGAAAACACAAAGCTTCACGACCATGATGCACCATGCGCTGTGTGCCACACTGAGTCACGTGGGAGTCACATGATGATCCCAGCCCGCAACACCTGCCCCTCAGGTTGGACCTTGGAGTACAAAGGATATATCATGTCCGGACATTATGGCCACAAAGGACGATCCCAGTTCATATGTGTTGATGGAAAAGCCGAGGCAACTTTTGGATCACACGTCGACAAGAATGGAGCTTTGTTGTACTTGGCGGAAGCTGCTTGTGGCTCTTTGCCTTGCCCACCGTATGTGCAAGGTAATGAACTCACCTGCGCCGTGTGCACGAAATGAAATGGCGATGACGAGAAACGGAACCGAAACTTTTTTATGATAAAGAAACTTGGAACGCCCTCAGATTCATTAACATGCTTACTCTATTATATCGGTTAGGAATAACATTCAGCTAGTATTGTACGCTAGTTTTGCAAGCAATAGTTTTGTAGTTGAGCTTTGGTCACTTTCATAGTGCTAAATCATAGAGAAATAATAAAGATACACGTTTCAGCATTAAATTACGTTGTGTACTTACTAAGGCCGATTTACATGTCACAACTTTTGCCTTAAACTGTCGCATGCAAACCTGCTTACAACTTGAGTTGTTGACAACGTAGTCTTCTAGTCGCAGACGAGTTGTGTGTTTGATTTACACAGTACAACTCAAGTTGTAAGCAGATTGCATGCGACAGTTTTAGGCGAAATTTGTGCAAAATCTACCATATATACTTGAGGTTATAGTCACAGGGACGCCGGAACTGGGGGGCAGGGGGGGGGGCGGCTGCCCCCCTTGCCTTTTGCTAGGGGGGGCAGGGGGGCAGAAGTGCCCTTTTAGTTGTAAAATAATACGTGATAAATCACATTTCCAACGATGCTTTTTGTAGGAAAATCACGAGATTCAGGTCATTTATAGTTTATATTTA